TTTCGGTGTTGTTTGATGTGATTTGAAGCCTAGACTAAGTTCGTACCATGTTTTAGAATGTGTTGGTATATTTGGTTGAGGTCCCGGGGGCCTCGAGTATGTTTCGGATGGGCTACAGGCCATTTCTTCATGCTTTTGAGTTGCTGGTTTCTGGTGTTGCTGTTGCTCTTCGCGATCGCAAAGATAGAGCTGCGATCGCGAAGTGATTCTGCGAAACTCATCATTTTTTCTCATTGCAGATGTGGCAGTGGGCATGCGTTCGCAAAGGTTCAGCTGGTTGTTGTTCGCGTACGCGTAGGGTGTTCCGCGTTCGCATAAGAGAATTGGAGACTGTTGGAATGTTACTCATCGCATTCGCGAGATTTGGTATGCGTTCACGAAGGTTGGCCAATCAGTTCATCGCTTTCGCGAGGTGATTTCCGCGAACGTGTAGCTCATTTACTTGAGTAGTGATTTTTGTGTTCCGTAATCGCGAGGTGTGTTCCGCAATCGCGTAAGAGGACTGCGTGGGCAGAGTTATAAGAACTCTATTTCGAGGGTTGGCCATTTTATCATATTTTGAGTTGTAGGCCTCAGATTTGAGCGATGTTTGAGGGGTTCTTCACGTGTTGGTTTGGGGTAAACGTTCTCTACTCGAATTTGATTTTATTTCATGATTTCATCTTTATTTTTATCATTAAATTAGTGGTTTGAGTTGGGAAAAATGGGAATTTTTGAGAAAATCTTTCAAAATATAAAATGAGGATTTGAAGGGTAAATTGATATCGTAATTTGGTAATTCTTGTATGGTTGGACTTGTATGAAGTTGTTATGTCATGTTAAATCTCCCATTTACTAAATTCACCCTTATGTGTCTTAATTAAAATTAATTGCTTCATGTTCTATCCTTATTGCCGATTAAACTCTTATGTGTCTTAACTGAAGTTGTTGCCCCTTTTTATCGTCATACTATCCTTTCCGTAATTGATTAACCTTAATTGAAATCATTATTATCTCTTCTATAATTGCTTAGCCTTAATTGAAGTTTGTTATCCCTTTCATTGTTGACGTAGTCTTATTTGGGGTCATTGATTCATGCTATCTCTTTTGTTGTCGAATTGCACTTTTGTGGAATCATTGTTACATATTACCTCTCCCTTGTTGAATTATTCTTGTTGAGACTATTATTTCCCTGTTTTGTCTTTCTTTGTGAGTTTGTTCTTCCGTTTCTTTGTGTTCTGAAGTTCTTGTATTGATTTACTTGTCGTATTCTCGTGTTATTGTTGTTGTTACTATTGTATTCAGTGATGTTGAGCCAAGAGCTATGTGTGGTTGTGATATTGAAACTGTTTTGAGAAAATATTGTGGCATGTGGGCACATATTGTGAAAGTCATTTATTTGAGTTGTTATGTTTTTGGCATATGTGTTTTGTTGAGAGAATTGTTATGTTGTTTGCACGAGGTTTCTGCCGTGCAGTTGTTATTGTGTTTGTACGAGGTTTCTGCCGTGCAGTTGTTATTGTATTGCACGAGGTTTCTGCCGTGAGGTTTTTATTATGTTGCACAAGTTTTCTGTCGTGTTGTTATTATTATTGATACACATGCAGTGGTATAAGATCTGGGTGTTAAAACGCATGCGGTGAGATAAGGTGGTCTTGAAACGCGTGGCTAGTAGGTGAACTATTAGACGCCATACGGTGTGATAAGGTGGGCTAAAACGCGGGATGTTATTTCGGAAAAATACTTTTCAAAAATAAATATAAAGGCTCCCGCGGTGATATAACGAAAGTTGTGATTCATTTTTACGATTTGAGACTACGAGGTGGTACCCGTACCTCGCGAGGGCTCTTGAATTCTTCTATATATTTAATAAGTGTTAGGCTTACCTAATTTTAGAGATTAGGTACAGTCACGACATTCTACGGAGGAAAATTGGGGTAGTGACAAGATGGACGGCTGACGAATCTCTAAAGACAATAAGATGCTAGAGAAGATGTACTATATATTACCAGGCTGAAAGCAGTTAACATAGTGAAAGGGAATCTCAAAATAGACAAAGATAAATTTAGCAATTGATAACAGAACCTACAAACAAAAGGAAGCCACTAAAAGGCCAACTATAAACTGAAACATCCAATTTTATTATGTGTTGTAGCTCATTCTCTGCTTCACACAGCTCTTCTCCGCTTTACACGGCTCATGGAAGCACTTGTGGGAACTGTGCTCATGGAAGCACTTGTGAGAACTGTTTTCTACTGGAAAGATGCCTTCAGCAACTTCAGCGCCTGCAAAATGATAGGAGTTTACTAAGTACAAAGAAAATTTCACCAAACAGAAGAGGACACAGGAAAAGAAGAAGAGATATTTAACTTAATTGATTACCTCTTCCATTCCTAAATTTACTACTTTCTTCTCTAGTACTCCAACATCCTTAACATTAAACTTGTTGAGAAGGGCAATGCTAGAAATGGCGGATATAGGCTTAACCACTAAGTCGTCCATAACCATGTATGTCACCATCTCCTTCACAAACCCCCGTGTAGCTGCGACAGCTTCCTTCACTCCCCATGGAACGTCATTAAGCAATAGAAAAGGAAAGAGATATTCCCAACTGAAGACTTGGGTTTTAAAAGGATATCCTTGCATTGGTTCGATTGGACATAGGTATCCTTCAGATTTTCTACGCTTTCGTAGAGGTTAGTCAAGGATCCACGCATTACTTTCTCCTTAAGAAGCTTAGTTACAGCGCCCACAGGCAATGTAAGAATGTGAAAGAGGAAATGGACACAGTCCTTTTCAGCATCAGCAAATAGAACTTTGCGGGCCTTGGTGTCAATCAACAGCTTCAAGCTTAGTTTGGAATCTGAATTCGTCATTTTGGTTGGCTGATAACTGCTGCAAGTTTTGTTCTTGAGAAGTAGATTTACACCAAACCCCCCCAGCAAATCTCATGTGCTCTGGATGTTGAGGACCTACACTTTGTCAAAACACAAACACAGTGAAGAAAGAGAGCTAAAACAGAAGGAACAAGTTAAGCTCTGTAATGAGATTTCCATAACTTTCTTTGAGTCCCTTTTCAATCCTTTTAAATGGGAAAAATTATAGCTAGTGGGTAATTACAAATGCAGCAACTATATGATATATAATTGGAATCCAAATTGTGGTTACAAGAGGCAAGAGCGAGGATAGTTCCTAAAAAAATAGAAAAATCAAGGAGTTTGCTATGAAATGCACAACATATCTGAAAATAATAATATTTTAAAACGTGAAGAACTTGAGAGAGTACTACAATAAAGTTCTCATTGCTCACACACACCAAAGAGAAAGAAAATCGTTTTCTTTGAGTCATTTGGTTGCAGTATGGAACCAAAATAACATTCTGAACTCTTATTACTATACAGATATACTCTGTCAAAACTACATTCTACATCCTTAACCCTTATAGGAGTAAAATACCTTCAAAGTTACATTTTATCACAGGTGACCACTCAACTTTTATTTTAATCAAGCAAAGTCCCGAAACTATTTTTTGTAACCAA